GGCACGCTGTGCCCCTGGTGCCGCCTCTGCCACGGGGCATTTCTGCCCGGTGTCCCCCTGGGGCCAGTCTGGACTTGCTCCTCCTGCTGTGCAAACAGGATTTGGGCAGATAAGGGGCACTGCCAGCGCTGCCCGGAAAACCTGCTCTGTCTCACGTGGCCACGGGAGAGTCCCTGCCACACCTGGCCCTGGGGGTGCCCGGTGGGTGCCACAAGGGCTGGGTCAGCACGAGTGCCCGTGGCCTGGCACTGCCCTGGCACTGCCCTGGCACTGCCCGCTGCTGCCACGCTGCTCTGCCTGTCCCCAGCAGTGCCGTGCCCGTGCCACCACAGCTCGGGAAGCTCTTTCTGATTCTGGATTTCTGGGGTTTGATGCTGGCTAAATCCCAGGTTTCTGTGTGACCAAAACCACCTGGGCAATGATCCCTGTGAGGCCGGGAGGTGGGACAGGGGCTGCTGCCCTGCCAGGCTCCTGCCATGTGCCTGCTCAGCAGCTCTGTCCTGCGAGGTCTGGAGCCAGGACGTGGCACTGATTGTGTCCCCACAGTGTCTCAGAGCAGCTCAAGGACAGCCGTGTCACCATCTCTGTCCCCTACAGCCACCAGCCAGGGCTCTCAGAGTGTGAGTCCATCTGGCCCTGATTTGGGAGCAGTCCGTGCAGCTCCATCCAACCAAACCACAGCACCAGCCCCACCCAGCACCTCGGGATCAAAAACATCTCCATCATCTTCATCCAACCAAACCCCAGCACCAACCCCTCCCAGCACCTCGGGATCAAAAACATCTCCAGCATCTTCATCCAACCAAACCCCAGCACCAACCCCAGCCAGCACCTCGGGATCAAAAACATCTCCAGCATCTTCATCCAACCAAACCCCAGCACCAACCCCAGCCAGCACCTCGGGATCAAAAACATCTCCAGCATCTTCATCCAACCAAACCCCAGCACCAACCCCACCCAGCACCTCGGGATCAACAGCATCTTCAGCATCTCCATCCAACCAAACCACAGCACCAACCCCACCCAGCACCTCGGGGTCAAAAACAACTCCATCATCTTCACCCAACACCACCACACCAACACCTCCATCATCTTCACCCAACACCACCACATCAACAACTCCATCTACTACCTTGGGACCAACACCTCCATCATCTTCACCCAACACCACCGCACCAACTCCAAACAATATCTCAAAATCAACACCTGCGTCATCTCCATCCAACACCACCACATCAACAACTCCATCCAACACCCCGAGATCAACACCACCTCCATCATCTTCATCCAGCACCACCACATCAACAACTCCACGCAATATTTCGGGGTCAACACCTCCATCATCTTCATCCAACACCACCACAGCACCATCTTCAGCCAGGACATCCTCATCCAATGCCACCACGGCACCGACTCCATCCCGCACAAGTGTGTCCAGACCCACAGAGCATCCATCCAACCCAGCCCCCTCCTCACCCAGCCCCTCTGGGCCTGCCTCTCCCCCCACAGTCACCGTGAGCCTGGGTCCCAACAGCACCAGGGCTGTCACCACCAGCTCCAGAAGGATAGCAGCCACTGGGAGCTCTGGTGAGAGCCAGCCTGGGGGGCACCGGGCAGCTGGGGGGCCTGGGAATGGCCATGGGCCCCCCTGGATCCCCCACTTGGGGCTGCACTCACAGGGGTGCAGGTCCCACGGTGAGCCCAGAGCCCCCCCTGGCTGCTCCCCTCTCCTTGGGGGGGTTGTTGAGGGCTCCCCTTTTGTCCCCCAGTGCCAGGGGGGTCAGGAGGTGACACAGGAGCTGGGTGCCAGCTCTGTGATGGGTGGGGTGGTGGCAGGCGGGGTGCCAGGGGGAATAATGGGTGTCAGGGGAAATACCGGGGTGCCAAGGGAAATACCGGGGTGCCAAGGGGAATAACGGGGTGCCAAGGGGAATAACGGGGTGCCCATCTCGCCCCACAGAGCCGCACCCCGCCGAGCTGAGCCCTGGCGTGGTCGCTGTCATCTCCCTGGCCGTGTGCCTGCTGCTGGCGGCGGTGGCCGCGCTGCTGGTGCGGCGGTGCCGGCGCGGGACGCCCCCGTTCCAGCCCCTGGATGAGGTGCCCATGGTGCGTGGGGGGCCCGGGGGGATTTGGGGAGGGGGCAGCGGCTCCGGGCAGCGGGCGCTCACCCCGCTTCTTTCTCTTCTTCCCCAGAGCAAAGTGACCGAGGGGTCCCCTGCGCCCACCCCCAGCTGACTCCCCCCCGCCGCAGCCCCCGGTGCTCAATAAAGAAGCCGCTCCCTGCCTCTGCTTTCCTGTCTGCCATGTGCTCTGCAGCCTGCCCGGGGAAAGCCCCCGCTCCCGGGGGATGCCCGGGCCGCTTTCGGGGTGTTCCCGGTGCGGCGGGGCGGGTGCGGGGGCGCGGGGTGTTCCCGGTGCGGCGGGGCGGGTGCCGGGGGCGCGGGGTGTTCCCGGTGCGGCGGGGCCGGTGCCGGGGGCGCGGGGTGTTCCGGTGCGGCGGGGCCGGTGCCGGGGGCGCGGGGCCCGCGCAGCCCCCCCGGCGAGGTGCGATGGGAGGGAGCGAGCGGCCAGGCACGCACGTCGCCTTCCTTCTGCTCCGCTGCACTCGGCCGGGGCCGCGCTCGCCGCGAGGACCGGGCACCGGTACGGGGCTGCGGGCGGGGCCGGGGGGCTGCGGCCGACGGGGACCCCCGGGCCGGGCATCGGCGGCGCCGGGGATGGGGATGAGGCCGCTGCCGGTGCTGGCGAATCCCGGGGGGTCGGTGCTGGGGGCTCTGCGGGTGCGCCCCGGTGCTCGGGGGCGGGGGGTGGCAGGTGGCCGGGGTGGGTCATGAACGCGGCATCCGTGGGTTCACGACTTGGCGAGTGCTGCGGGCTGGGGCCACCCCCCCGTGGCCTCAAATCCTTGTCGCTGTCCCCTGCAGCCCACGGGAGCACCGGGAGTGGGGCGGGGGGGCTCCCGAAAGCCGAGGTCGGGGCTGAGCCCGGCCGAGCCCCGGTGGCCATAAATCACGGCGGGGAGGAGCCCGCGCGTCCCGGCCCCGGGGTGGCCCCGGGGTGTCCCCAGCCGCGGGAGGGGGGTCCCCGCCGGTGAGCCCCTCCCGGCCGCGGCTCCCGGAGCTCCCCCCGCAGGGACGGCGATGAGACGGAGCCGGACAGCGCTGCCCTTCCTCGGCGCGGAGGTGAGACCGGCACCGGGGGCCACCGGCGGGGCGAGGGCTGTCCCGGGGGGCGAGGGGTGTCCCCGGTATGGGCGTCCCAGCGCCGGGCCCCCGGCCAGCAATAACCGGGCTGGCGGCGCTGAGCGGGAGTTAATTATCCCCTTAATGGGCGGTTAATTATTATTCACCTCTGCGTAATTGCGCGCCGGCTCCGGGGGTTTTTCCGGCGGGGTCCCGGGGGAAGTCAGGGGGGTCCTCTCCGGTGGCGGCGGGAGCGGGAGGAGGAGGATGAGGAGGGGGGGAGTCCCGGTGGCTCCGTGCGCTGCGGGCGGGGCCGCTCCCGGTGCCCCGGCTGCGCCTTTCCCGGTGCCCCCCCGGCCCAGGTACCACCGGTACCCCCGCCTGCAGCGCCGCACCGTGTCCGGCAGGGGGCGCCGGCGCGCTACCGGCGCTCGGTACCGGCGGGGGGGGCGCGGGGGGCGCTGCCCGGGCGGGACCCTCGGGCCGGGATCAGCAGGGACCCCCCCAGGCCCCGGGGCCGCTCCCCCGCCTCTCACCGCTGCTCCGTTTCCCGGCAGCGCTGCCGCGATCCCGCCGAGGCCGCCCCGTCGGGCCCGGGCCCGGGAGCGGCGGTGGGCGCCGTGCGCCGGCGTTTCTCCGGGACCCCGTTGCTGCCGCCGCTCGGCTGCCGGTTGGCGGAGGCGGCCCGCGCCCCCGAGCCCGAGGCTGCCCGGGTGGTTTTCACCATCGAGGAGAGCGGCCCCAGCAGCGGCGATGAGTCCGAGCCCCCCCGGTAAGGGCGGCACGGGGAGCGGGGAGGTGATGCCCCGGTGGCACCGGGAACGGGTCACCGGGCAGGGCACGGCTGGCGGGGGATGCTCCCGGCTTCAGCACCGGCGGCCGGACAGCGGCACCGGGGCAGAGCACCCGGTGGTTTGGGGACAAACTCCTCTGTCACCGACCCCGCTGTGCCAGCCCCGGGGGGCGCATTGTGATCACCGTCTGTCCCTGTCACCTCCAGCACTCCTGTCCCCCACTGTCCCTGTGGCCCCCATCCCCCTTTTCCCCACCAGCCATCCCTGTCCTCACCCTCCTCACCCCCTCGCTGTCCCCAGCCCGTGTCCCAGCCAGAGCCACCACAGGGCTGGCCTGGCCCTGCCCGAGGTGACCTCGGTCCCTCCCGCAGTGGCTCGGGCCCAGCAGTGCTGCTGCAGGGCTATTTTTGGGCCATTCCCCCTGTCCCGTGCCTCTCCCAGCCCGGCTTGTGGGGACAGCAACGAGCTGGCACGGCCGAGGGACATGGCTCTGGTGTCACTTGTCCTCCAGCCCTGCACAGACACGTGGTGACAGCGACACTCCGATAGGGACTGGCTGTCCTGGGGACGGGGACTCGCTGTCCTGGGGCCAGCCCAGCCCTCGCTGCCAGCCAGCACGGGGGGCTCTTCCCTCTGTCCCACGTTCCCTGATGTCCCTGTCCCACGTCCCCCTGCCCTGATGTCCCCACAGACAAGCCAAGGTGACCCCTCCAGGACCCCCCTCCGGTGGGTTTTGGGGTCCCCCCCTGGGCAGGGGGGCTCTGGTGCTGTCCCCTCCTGGCTCCCTGCCAGCTGCTGGACACTTTTGTGGCCATCAGGAACAGCCAGTAGCCACATCTGCTGCATCAGGCTGGGCAGTGCCAGAGCCCACGGCCACCTCTCTGTGGGTCCCCACAGTGTCACTGCCACCAGCTGGACCTCACCCTGCTGGGGAGTGGCTCCAGGAGGGGACAGCACCAGGGAGGGGCTGGGGCATGGTGTGGGGTGGCTTTGGCTCTCACAGGTCCCTTGGTGGCACCGTGGCATGTCCACACCACATGTCTGGGATGCTCCAAGCTCAGCTGTGTCCCTTGGTGGCACCACGGCACTGCCACACTGCGAGTTCAGGATGCTTCGGGCTCAGCCACGTCCCTGTGTCCCTTGGTGGCACCGTGGCACAGCCACTCTGCAGGTCCAGGATGCTCCAGACTCAGTTGTGTCCCTCAGTGTCCCCGTGTCACAGCCACACCGTGTGCTGGGGATGCTCCATGCTCAGCCGTGTCCCTCAGTGTCACCGAGTCACAGCCACACCGTGTGTCTGGGATGCTCCAGACTCAGTTGTGTCCCTCAGTGTCCCCGTGTCACAGCCACACCGTATGTTGGGGATGCTCCATGCTCAGCCGTGTCCCTCAGTGTCACCGTGTCACAGCCACACCGTGTGTTGGGGATGCTCCATGCTCAGCTGTGTCCCTCAGTGTCCCCGTGGCACAGCCACACCGTGTGTCTGGGATGCTCCATGCTCAGCCGTGTCCCTCAGTGTCACCGTGGCCCGCCTGCTCCGGCTCCCCGGGGGCTTCGCGGGCCGTTGTTCCCTGTCCCCAGGCAGAGCACCCCTGCCCTTTCGGGAGCAGCTGCCGCCTCGGGGACAGCAGGGTGGCCGGTGGCACCGGGCCAGCGAGGGGCCACGTGCCCGGCCCGCCAGGCACACCGGGGGGGGACCGGCTCCCTGCGCGGGCTGCCGGAGCCAGACAGTTGTTTAATTTCCCAGGCGCAGGGCGGGAGGGGGATGGAAACTTTCCCGGGGCTGCCGGGGCCGGGACGGCCGCGCGCTTCCTGCTCCGCACCGGGGGCGCCGGGGCCTCGCCGCCCGCCCGGGGGTCCCTGACCGGGCCATGCTGCCCAGCGCGCCCCGCTCGCCGGGGGCTTCTCCGGCCACGTCCCCCCGCGCTTCCCCCCGCAATTCTCCCGTGCTCTTCAGGAAGCTCCTGATGAACCAGAGCATCCGCCTGCAGCGGCGCTTCACCGTGGCGCATCCCCTCTGGTAAGGGGGGGACGCAGGCGGGTCCCCGCGGGGGGGTGGCACCGGCCCGTGCTGCCGCCGTGGGGGCACGGCTGCCCCCGGAGCTGTGGCGCGGCCTCGGGGCTGTGAGGACGAGGAGGGGACGGCGGGGTCCCCTCAGGGTCAGGGGGAGCCGCCGGACGAGGGGGCTGAGCACGGGCACGCTCGTGGCAGGGACCCCGGTGGGGACCGAGGGGGACTTTGCCCTTCAAACCCAGGCACCGACGCAGCCACCGCGGCTCCTCCGCGCCCTCCCCGCCTCGCAGCTCCGTGGGGTCGGTTTTGGGGCGCCGGCCCCACCTGCGGGGCGCCGTGGGGCTCGGCACATCCCTCCTCGGCAGCGACAGCAGCTATTTATAGCGGCCCCGGCCCCCGCGGCACGGACACCGCTCCGAGGTCATTAACGCCGAAACGAGGGGGGTTAATCGGGCACCGACCCCGTGGCGGGGGCTCGTGTCCCCCGGGGCTGTCCCCTGCGGTGGCAGCGGGGTCAGCGGTGGTGGCACGGGGCCGGGAACAGGCGCGGGCATCGCCCCGCGGGGCCGTCGGAGGGACAATGCGGCTTTGTGCGGCCGGTACCATCGGGGATGGGAAGCCGAGGCAGGAAAACAAGGGGCTGCGGGGTGGCATGACGCGGTGCCGGCTGGCACCGCCACTGCCGCTGCCGGGGACGGCCGCGCCACAGGCACCGGGGCTGGCGGAGCGGGACGATGCTGCCGGGCAGCCGCTGCCCGTCCCGGAGGCACTCCTGCATCGGGTAGGTGCCGGGACGCGGCGGGGACGCGGTGGCCACAGTGGCATCCGCGCTTTCCCGCTGCTCTGGGGTGGCTTGTCGCCGTCCCCGCGGGAGGGGACAGGCGCTGGATGGCCCTCGCTGTGTCCCTGCTGCCTGCAGCCTTTCCCATGACCCCGGGGCCCGCAGCGCGGCAGGGTGGGTGAGGCGGCCGCGGCCGGCCTGGGGACACCGCAGGGTCGCCATCGCTGTCCCCTGTCCCCCTTGGATGCGCTGGCTGCCAGGTGACTCCGGCTGGGGTGCCCCTGGGCTGCCGCCAGCGTGTCCCCAGGGGCCAGGGCTTGGCTTCTGCGTCGGTTTCTGTCCTTCGATGTCCCCTGGCTCTGTGCCGTGGCTGGGATATTGTCCCCAACATGGGACGGGGCTGACGGAGGCTTTGGAGGAGTCGGGACCGTGGTGACAGGTAGGGGGAGGGACAGGCAGGAGCCAGCCCTTCCTGGGGGTCCCTGGAGCTGGGAGCTTCGGGGCGGTGGGTGCTGTCCCAGCTGGGTGACATGGGACAGCCTGGCCAGTGTCCCAGGTCCCAGCAGGGAGCTGAGAGGGCCCCTGTGCACCGAGCTGTGCCCGTTCTCAGCGCGTGGAGGAGCCAGCAGGGCCGGACTGGGCACCGCTGTCACCACAGGGTCACCAAGCTGGACACAGTGAGATGGTGGCACAGAGAGCCCCGCAAACCCGGCAGCATCGCCTGGGCTGAGGCTCCCGTGCCAGCCCTGTCCCCTCTCCCCTCGCAGCTTTGACCTGGAGAATGGCCCCCCCGGCCGGGGCGCCCTGGACCCCCAGGCCAGCCCGGGCGCGGGGCTGGTCCTGCAGGGCTCCTTCTCGCACGGCCAGCGCCGCGAGTCCTTCCTGTACCGCTCCGACAGCGACTACGACCTGTCCCCAAAAGCCATGTCCCGCAACTCCTCCATCGCCAGCGACCTGTGAGTGTCCCCCGGCCACATCCCCCGGGACTCCCCTCCCTCCCCTCCCTCCCCTCCGCGGGGCTCACGCTCCCTGTGCTCCCGCAGGCATGGAGAAGACATGATCGTCACACCCTTTGCCCAGGTAGGTGCCGGGGGGACACGGGAGGGGACAGGGCCTGCAGCCCGCAGCGGGGCGGGTGTCCGGGGGGGTCCGCAGCCCGACCCCAGCCCCCTGTCGCCCCCCAGGTCCTGGCCAGCCTCCGCACCGTCCGCAGCAACCTGAGCCACCTGCAGGACCGCGCTGGCATCAAGTGAGCGGCCGGGGGGTGGGAGGGCGAGGATGTCACCCGAGCGGGGACCCCAGCCCGCGGCGAGGGGTGGCACCGCTCTGGGGGTCACAGCTACTGAGCCCCCCGTGTTTGACAGGCGAGGATCGAGCAGCAGCCTGCCCTCGGGGAGCAAGGCCAGCCTCTCCGGTGAGTACCGGGCAAACGGTGGTGGGGAGATTTTGGGACGAGCTGGCTGTCCCCGTGTCCCCAGGCTGTGTCCCGCCGTGCCCTGGGGGTGCAGCCGCCTCCCCCAAGCCGAGGCAGAGCTGCGGCTTTGCCCTTTGGGATCCATGTCTGGTTTTCGGCAGCTCCTCCCGCCCTTCGCGGCGGTGGAAAAGCTCCCGTTGACGTCAAACCTTCCATTAATAAAAGGCCGGCGGTGAGCGGGGCCCCGCGGGAGCGCGGCTGCCCCCGGGGCTGGCTGTCACCCCACGGGACAGCGTGGCACGCCGCGTGCCGGGGCCGCCGGGCCGCGGGGACAGCGCGCCGGGGCCGGGCCCCGCTGCCCAGGCATGCCCGACCCCCCGTGCCCCCCGTGCCCCGCTCGGGGGGTGCTGCGGCCCCCCAGGCCGGCCAGCCCCCGGCTTTGCTGTGGCAGCAGCCCCCCCGTGCCGGGTGGCCGTGCTGCTGGCGGGTCCCTTGCCAAGCTGGCGGGTGCCCCCAGCAGAAGATGCCCACCAGAAGCTGTCGAGGGAGACCCTGGAGGAGCTGGATTGGTGCTTGGACCAGCTGGAGACGCTGCAGACCAGGCACTCGGTCAGCGAGATGGCCTCCAACAAGGTAAGGGACCTTTTCACAGCCACCCTGGTGGGCATGGGCACCCCAGAGCCCCCCGGGATGTCCTGCCAGCCCCCCACACCGCTGACCCTGCCACCCACCCGCAGTTCAAGCGGATGCTGAACCGGGAGCTGTCGCACCTGTCGGAGACCAGCCGCTCTGGGAACCAGGTGTCCGAGTACATCTCCAGCACCTTCCTGGGTGAGAACCCCCACCCCAGGGCCACCTCCTGCTGCCAGCAGGGTGGGCTTTGTGTGGGGGATGATGCCCACTTGCTTCTTGTGGAGGAATGGGATGGGGGGACCAGGGGGGTTTTTCCCAGGTGTCCCAGTGGGATTTGTCCCACAGATGTCACAGCATTTGTCCTGGCTGGGAGTGCTGGCTCATACTGGTGTGTACTGGTGCACTGGGGGTGTTGGGGCCACCACCCCCTGTGTGCCTGGAGGAGTCCCCTGGTAGATGTGTGGCTGGTGGATGGGGGTGAAGTGCTGCAGCCCCCAAATTGTCACAGTGTGACCCGTGCCTGTCCTCGGCGTGACCCGGGGAGATGCTGGCAGTGACATTTGGCCCCCCCGTGTCACCCCAGACAAGCAGCACGAGGTGGAGATCCCCTCGTCGCTGGCCAAGGACAAGGAGAAGGAGCGGAGGAAGCGGCCCATGTCCCAGATCAGCGGCGTCAGGAAGCTCAAGCACAGCTCCAGCCTGGCGGCCGCCGGCATCCCCCGCTTCGGGGTGCGCACGGAGCACGAGGCGCTGCTGGCCAAGGTGGGCCCTGGCAGGGGTGACCCCCCCGACCGAGGGGTCCCCAGCAGCAGCCCCCCATGGATCTCTGTCCCTCTGCTGCCCAGGAGCTGGAGGACACCAACAAGTGGGGGCTGGACGTGTTCAAAGTGGCCGAGTACTCGGGGAACCGCCCGCTGACCGTCATCATGTACAGCATCTTCCAGGTGATGGGAAGTGTCCCTGTCCCCGTGGGGTGTCCCTGTCCCTGTGCCCGCACAGGGACGAGCCACCTCTGCCTCCCCGCAGGAGCGGGACCTGATGAAGACGTTCCGCATCCCCGTCAACACCTTCATCACCTACATGCTGACGCTGGAGGATCACTACCACGCCGACGTGGCCTACCACAACAGCCTGCACGCCGCCGACGTGGCGCAGTCCACGCACGTCCTGCTCTCCACACCTGCGCTGGAGGTGATTCCTGGTCACCTGAGGCCACCCAGGTGTGCCTGGCCAGGCTGTCACGTGTCAGCAATGCCCGTTCCCACCGTTCCTAGGCTGTCTTCACGGACCTGGAGATCATGGCTGCCATCTTCGCAAGTGCCATCCATGACGTTGACCACCCCGGGGTCTCCAACCAGTTCCTCATCAACACCAGTGAGCTGGGGCTCAGGGTTGGACCTGGGGGATATTGGGGGACCCCAGGGTCACCCCGGGGTGACCAGTGCTGTCTCACAGACTCAGAGTTGGCCCTGATGTACAACGACGCTTCGGTGCTGGAGAATCACCACCTGGCCGTGGGCTTCAAGCTCCTGCAGGAGGAGAACTGTGACATCTTCCAGAACCTGAGCAGGAAGCAGAGGCAGACGCTCCGTAAAATGGTCATCGACATGGTAAGGGGGGCTGCACCTGCCCAGGGTGAGGGGCTGGGCTGGGGGATCAGGCTGGGACCCCTTCCCACCTCTCCCTGCCCAGGTGCTGGCCACAGACATGTCCAAGCACATGAACCTGCTGGCGGATCTGAAGACCATGGTGGAGACCAAGAAGGTGACCAGCCTGGGGGTGCTGCTGCTGGACAACTACTCTGACCGGATCCAGGTGGGGACACACCTGGGCAATCCTCCCCAACGCTGCCGGCGTCCATCCCAGCTCTGGCCTGCCAGGATGTCCCGTTTGGTGCCACCTGTCCATCCCAAAGCCAACTGGGGGGCCAAGTGAGTTCCGGGTGGCCCTGGGGGACAAACAACACGCTGTCCCATGCCCACAGGTCCTGCAGAACATGGTGCACTGCGCCGACCTCAGCAACCCCACGAAGCCTCTGGAGCTGTACCGGCAGTGGACCGACCGCATCATGGTGGAGTTCTTCCACCAGGGGGACCGGGAGCGGGAGAAGGGCATGGAGATCAGCCCCATGTGCGACAAGCACACCGCCTCCGTGGAGAAATCCCAGGTGAGACACACCTGGGGACACCTGGGGGCATGGGGACACCTGGGACATGGGGACACGGGGACACACCTGGGGACAGCCCCATGTGTGACAAACACAGCGCCTCAGTGGGGAAATCCCAGGTGAGACACACCTGGGGACACCTGGGGGCATGGGGACACCTGGGGACACCTGGGACATGGGGACACACCTGGGGACAGCCCCATGTGTGACAAACACAGCGCCTCCGTGGAGAAATCCCAGGTGAGACACACCTGGGGACACACCTGGGACAGCCCCACGTGTGACAAGCACGGCGCCTCCGTGGACAAGTCCCAGGTGGGGTGGCAGCCCGGGGACAGGGCTGGCTGTCAGGGCCGGGCAGGGGGCTCAGCTCTGCCTCCCCCCAGGTGGGGTTCATCGACTTCATCGCCCACCCGCTGTGGGAGACCTGGGCCGACCTGGTGCACCCGGACGCGCAGGAGCTGCTGGACACGCTGGAGGACAACCGGGAGTGGTACCAGAGCATGATCCCGCGCAGCCCCTCGCCTCCGCCCCAGGCACCCTCCGCGTCTCCCGCCGCCACCGACAAGTTCCAGTTCGAGCTGACGCTGGAGGAGGAGGAGGAGGAGGAGGAGGAGGAGGGTGAGTCGGACACGGAGCTGGAGGGGGCCGAGAGCCCCCTGGACGAGGACAACAGCGGCTCCAAGACGCCGGGCACGGATGAGTCGGAGTCTGCCGACACCAAGCGCCTCTCCCCCGGCCCCGGGGAGCGCGACTCGCCCGTGCCCCGCCCCAGGGACGTGGACAACCGGCAGGCGCTGGAGGGGACGCTGCCGAAGGACGGGGGCAGCGGGTGCTCCGTTCCAGGGCCCGAGGGCAGCCAGGGGCTGTGCCTGGACACAGAGGGAAATGTCACATTCCTGTCCCTGGGCACGTAGCGGCACCGCCCCGGGGGACGTGGGACTGGGCACTGCCCTGAGCAGTGCTGGGGACACTGGGGAGCTGGCACTGGGGAGCACTGGCACTGCAGGGACTCGGAGGCACCCGGGATGTGTCGCTGTTTGGGAGCTGGGCAGGTCCTGACAGGTGCGAGGATGCTGCTGGCCTTCTCCTGGGAAAGGTCCCTGTCCCCTTCAGACAGGGCGTGGGGACAGCCCAGCCTCTGCTCCGGGCCCAGCCCAGCCCTGGGGACATTCACACCCTACAGGGCTGCAGGAAGGAGCATTCCGGCACCTTCCCAGGTGTCCCCTGGCAGGACGGCAGCCCCGTGGTGGCACGAGGTGGGCAGAGGGTGCTGGTGACACCCCCAGCACGAGGCACCCCCAGGCATGGCACGGGCACAGCTCAGTGGTTTATTTATTTGGGGGGATAAGTTCACTTTTTAAAGCCTTTTGTAGCTCACTTTTTACTACGAGCCTCCCCGAGGCTCACACACATTTTTGGGGCGGAAAGATGCATTTTTTGGGGGGAGCAAAGCTCCATTTCTGCTCTGTCATCACTCCAGATGCCATTTGTATTTCACATTTCGGACCCTGGCGGGTGCTGTCACCACCACCCCCCCACCCCCCATCTCCGTTATCCTGCCTGGGGCAGGGTCCTTTGGGATTCTTCCTTCACCTTCCAGAGATTAAACCCGGTTTGTTCCACCCTTAACCTGAGCCTTGCAAGCGCCTCTTTGTGTCACGGGAGCCGCAGGCAACGTCCCCAGGGACTGCTGTGGTTGGTGGCCCTGGGCACCGGGCAGGGCCTGGCTGTGTGCTGGAACAAAAGCCAGCTCCTCCCTGGAAACGCCGATCCATCACTGCCAAACACGACCTGCTAAGGTAAATATTTAATCGCCGGCTTGGCGCGGCGCGGAGCCCGCTCCCGGCCCTTCCGCATTGCTCCCCACGGTGATTTATCTCCACAAACACGGCCCCACCCGTGGCACTGCCCCGGCACGTGGGGCCCTCGCCCCCTGCCTGCCCTGGCAGCGGCAGAGCTGATGGATTTTCCCCAGCCCCGCCGTTCTCCAGGGTTTGGCCGGGAGTGCCGGGTCCTGCGGGGGTGGTGGCAGCTCGGTGCCATCCCTGGTGGGTGCAGGATGTCCCCCTGTCTCTGCAGATAGGGACAGGCTGAGGCTCTGTGCTCTCAAATTCCTCAAATCCAGATCCAGCACAGACTCTGCCGGGCTGGAGTGGGGCAGGAACTGGTGGAAAAAGCCCTTTTCCCCCCGTTTCTGGCTGGGGGGCTGCAGCATGAGGAGAGCAGGGGGGCTGTTGGCTGGGGAAGGTGATGGAAAATGGGCACAGCAGCCTGGATCCAGCCCTGAGCCTGGATCCATCCCTAATTCTGGATCCATCCCTAATTCTGGCTCCATCCTACAGCTGTCTCCATCTCTGACCCCATGTCCATCCCCATGGTTGCTCCATCCATGGCCCCGTGTCCATCCCCACGGCTCCATCCCTGCTCGCCCATCCCATGCCGTGCCACCCATCCGTGCCACCCCACTGTCCCTGAGGGCCGTGCTCCACATCCCCGCTGCCCACCCCGTGCCCCCCGTGTCCGGCTCGGTCCTCCCGGGGCTGTGGGTGTGGGATGAGCCTGGGCAGGAGCCAGGAGCTGCACGGGCACGGAGAGCACGGAGCCCCCGGGCGGGGCAGGGCAGGGCAGGGCCCGGGAGGCTCCGGGGCCAGGGCGGTGCCGCTGCCCTCAGGCCGCCATATGCTGCCGGCCCTAATCCCCGCTGGAGCCGCAGGGCGAGGGAGGACATGGCCGCCCACCTGCGCACCAGCCCCGCCTCAGCGCCAGCCGTCCTGTCACGGCAGGGATCAGCCTGCCCGCCACTGCAGGCCTAGGGAAGGCGTCGCGATAGCGCGCCATGTCGCGACAGGGAGGTTGTCAAAACTCGTCCCCCCCTCTGAGCGGGAATGGTTCACCCTACACCCCCGCCGGCGCTGGGGTGGTTCATCCCGCGCCCCGCGGAGCGCGGCCGGACCGCACCACTGCGCGGTGCCGGAGGGGGGGCGGCGCCCACCACCGCGCCGGGAGGGGGGGTCTCCTCCCCCCCGTCCGCCCGCTGTCCATCAAAGCGCGCCGCCGAGCCAATCAGCGCCTCCCTCAGGGGCGCGCCCGTGACGTCCGGGCTTATTTGCATAGCGAACCCCGCCCCTCAGCCGACGTCACCCGGACTCCGCATCTGCTGCAGTCGCTGCGGGGAGGAGGCGGCGGCGCGAGCGCGGCAGAGGTGAGAACCCCCCCCCCCCCCACCACCGGGACCCCCACCGGGACCCCCCCACAGCGACACCCCCACCGGGACCCCCCGAGACCCCCAGCGGGACCCCCCCGGCACCGGGAGGGGAGGGGCGGCTGCAGCGGAGGAGGCGGGAGGCGGGGGGGGGGGATGATGATGATGATGGATGCGGCGCAGGGGGGGCTGCGCAGGGCCTGGGGGGGTCTCGTTGCGGCGGGGACCGAGTGGGTGCAGCGGGGTCGGGCCTGCGGGGAGGAGCAGGGGGTGACCCCCCCCATCAGCACCCTGAACCCCCCAATCAACACCCTGACCCCCCCAATCAGCACCCAGCACCCCATTCCTGCACCCCCCTCCCCGCATCCCTGTGCTCCATCCCGCATCCTCCTCCCTGGGTGCGCACCCACCTCTGTGCCCCCTTGACTGGCATCCCTGTGTCACCCCCGGCTCCCTGTGCCACCCCCCGGCTCCCTGTGTCACCCCCGGGTCCCTGTGCCACCCCCCAGTCCCTGTCACCGCGCTGGCCGTGCCGTGCGGGGGCACCGCCGGTGCCATTTTGTCACCGGGAAGATGCGGGAGAGGCTGCGGCGCCCCGGCCGCACCCGCAACGCCACGGCAGATCCCGGGAGCCACGGCAATTCCTGAGAGCCACGGCAATTCCTGAGAGCCGTGGTGAATCCTGGAAGCCGTGGTGAATCCTGGAAGCCACGGCAATTCCTGGCAGCTGTGGCAATTCCTGAGAGCCACGGCAAATCCTGGTAGCCACAGCAATTCCTGAGAGCCGTGGCAATTCCTGGGAACCATTGCAATTCCTGGGAGCCACGGCAATTCCCGGGAGCCGTGGCAATTCCCGGGAGCCGTGGCAATTCCTGGGAGCTGTGGCAATTCCTGGGAGCCAGGGCGAATCTCTGTGGCCGTGGCAAATGCCGTGGGCCATGTGCCCCACATTCACCGTGGACACACCACGGCTCCCCGCTCTTCGGGTGACAGGAGGTGGCCTCTCCCTCTCCGAGCCCTTCGGGGTTGGGTGACCCATTGATGGCCACACCATGGCCAATCCTGAGCCAAAATATCCCAAATCCGTGCTGGGAACCGGCTCCGAGCGGGGCCGGGCACTGCCAGGGCTGTCACAGCCTCTCCCCACCCTGCAGATGGCGTCGGCTACTGACTCCCGCTATGGGCAGAAGGAATCCTCGGACCAGAACTTCGATTACATGTTCAAGATCCTGATCATCGGCAACAGCAGCGTGGGCAAAACCTCCTTCCTGTTCCGCTATGCCGACGACTCCTTCACGCCCGCCTTCGTCAGCACCGTCGGCATCGACTTCAAGGTCAAGACCATCTACAGGAACGACAAACGCATCAAGCTGCAGATCTGGGTGAGCACAGAGACCCCTGCGTGCCCCCAGGCCCCTGGGCTGGGCTGGAGCGATGGGGAGGGGGAGATGGATGGTGAAGGGTGGTGGTCAGTGAGGGGTGATGGTCAGTGAGGGGTGATGGTCACCGTGGGGTGATGGTCAGTGAAAGGTGGTGATGTGGGGCTGATGGATTGTTGGTGTGGGGGGTGATGGTCACTATGGGGTGATGGTCACTGTGGGATAATCCTTGGTTGGGTGATGTCACTATGGGGTGATGGTCACTATGGGGTGATGCTCGGTTGGGTGATGGTCAGAGTGGAGCTGCCCCACCAGGCAGATCTGCCCCCGTGGTGGGGCCCCTGTGGTGGGGGTGACATTCAGCTGTCCCCTGTGCCCCCAGGACACGGCGGGGCAGGAGCGGTACCGCACCATCACCACCGCCTACTACCGCGGGGCCATGGGCTTCATCCTCATGTACGACATCACCAACGAGGAGTCCTTCAATGCTGTGCAGGACTGGTGAGCGCCACGGGGGGCTCTGGGCACCCCAAACCGCCCCAGCCGCCCCCTCCCTGCCCCTCTGATCCCCCTCTCCCTTCCCCAAGGTCCACCCAGATCAAGACCTACTCGTGGGACAACGCCCAGGTGCTGCTGGTGGGGAACAAGTGTGACATGGAGGACGAGCGTGTGGTCTCCTCGGAGAAGGGGCGCCAGCTCGCCGAGCACCTGGGTGAGCTGGGGAGGGGGAGCCCCCCACCACGCCTGCCAGCCCACAATTAATTTAATTAAGGGCTTAATTCCCCGCGTGTAATTGCTCTGCTGTGGTGTCAGCGGTGACTTGGCACCTGGTGAAAAACCACGGAGTCACTGCACAGCTTAAACTCTCTGTGAGATGCTGGGGGGAGGATCTGGGGGGTTCTTTGGGTGGGAAAAACGGGATTTTGTGGGTAGTGGGGGCAGGTTGCAAACCCTCTAAATATTGAATGAGGAGGAGGAGGAGCAGCCACGCGGGGCCGGATCTTTGACGTGCGTGCGTGTCCCTTGTCCCTCTCTCCCCTTCCACATTGTCCCCCCCTCCCCACCCTCCTTTCCCACCACCTCAGGGTTTGAGTTTTTCGAGGCCAGCGCCAAGGACAACATCAACGTGAAGCAGACCTTCGAGAGGCTGGTGGACATCATCTGCGAGAAGATGTCGGAGTCGCTGGACACGGCCGACCCCGCGGTCACCGGCGCCAAGCAGGGCCCCCAGCTCACGGACCAGCAGGCCCCCCCCCACCAGGACTGTGCCTGCTAGGGGCCAGCCCCCCCAAAATCCCCCCAAAAACCGGTCAGTGCACCCCAACCCCCCCCCCGAGCTCCTCCTCTTGGGGGTCCCGCGGGGGCTTTTGCTGCTGATACCTCCGAAAGGGCTGCGGCCCCTCTAGGAGCCCCCACCCCAATTCATTAGGCTATGCCCCCCACCCCTTAATTTATTTTTAAGCCTGGGCTGGTAGAAAACTTCCCCCCTCATTCTGCTTTTAATCACTGTCAAGAAACCGTCACCCCCAGCCCCATTTCCCCTGGTGGAACCCACCCCTGTCCTGGCACCCCTTGCCCTGGGGACCCCCCTGTCCTGGGACCCTCTCCCCTTTTTCCTGCTCTGGGACCCCCCTGTCCTGGGACCCCCTGTCCTGGAGACCCCTCCCTGCCCTTTGCCTTGCCCTGGGACCCCCTGCTCTGGGGATTCCCCTGCCCTGAGACCCCTTCTGCTCTGGAACCCCCTGTCCTGGTAGCCCCTGCTCATTTTCCTGTCCTGGGACCCCCTGCCCTGGCACCTTCTGTCCTGGAGACCACCCTGCCCTTTTCCCTGCCCTGGAACCCCCTGTCCTGGGGATCCCCCTGCCCTGGGACCCCCCTTCCCAGCGTGTGGGTGCTGTGACAGGACCCCCAAATCGCCCTCCCCAAATCCATCCCACCCCTTTTACCCCGAGAGCTCCTGGTGCAGGGGGCTCTTTGTGCCCGGCTCCCCTGCCCCTCCAGCTGGATGGATATTTCCTGACTCTTGTTTATTTGTATAAATAGATGCTAATTTATGCTCCCGCCGTCTTCCTCCTTGTACATACAGAAATTCCTTGTAAATAGGCGTAGGAAGTGACGCTGTGCGCGTGACCTGCTGTGCTGTGGCCGTGGTGGTGCATTTATTTATATATATATATATATATATATTCTGATTTTTTTTTTTGGGTTTTTTTTTTTTTTTTTTTTGTTTCTCTCAGTGTGGTAACCTTGCTTGTGAATATCACTTTTAAAAAAGAAAAACCCACCAAAAAAAAAACCCAACCCCCCCACTCCCACAACCGAACGACGCCAGAACTGTTATTATTATTTAAATAATAAGATTTCAAATGAAAAATGAATTCAATGCATCAGCGAGGCCGAGCCAACTGGAGCCAATCTGCCCCGGTTTGGGGGAGCCTGGGGGGGTGAGCAGGGCTGGTTTGCTCCAGGGATTTGGGATCTCGTGTTCCTGTAGTTCTGTGCTTCTGTGGAGACTGTGAATAAGTGGATATTCCCGTAGCCATGACAGAGCTGCCCTTTATTTATTTCTCCTGGAGCGCTGTGTCTTTATTTTACAGATTTCCCTCTATTTCCCCCTCCCATCATGATTCCATCTCCTTCCCTCCCCTTTCCCCCTTCCCTGCCCTCCTCTTTTTTGTGAAGTTTACTTATGGAAGAGTTACACTGTACTGTACAAATGTCAAAAGTGTCAAAAAAAAAAAGAGTACAATTTCCTAAAAATCACTGTATTAAAAGAAATGTTGTGAAGAAATAAACCAATGCTGATCAGAAGTTCCTCGGGGTCCCTGAGTTGCCAGAAAGGAGCAAAATTAATCAGATTTTTTTAAAATCATTGTCCCCCAAATGGCTCCTGCTGCTGCTGAGGGAGGAGCTGAGTCCCTCTGGGTGTGTGACAGCAGCAACCAGGGCAGAGCATTAAGGCACAGCTTCAAAAATCAAATTAAAAAAACCCCATTCAGGCAATTTTCATTGACACTGGAAATAATTCAGTTCTTGGGTTCTGCAGGGAGTGTCCAGCTCACCCAGGGCTGGGAGCAGAGGGGATGTGATGGCCCAAACTCTGCCAAAATTTGGCTCCAACGCCCCCTGAGCTCTGCAGAGCCGGCGGGTGCAAGCACATCCCGTTTCCATCCCTATTTATAGAGGATCCAGGTGGCTGCAGCCCCCGCCCGAGCCGGGGGGGAAATGGGAGCTGAGGCAGCTCAGGGGGAGTGCAGTGATTTTATCCTTGAGCTGCAAGAGCAAAAGCAGGAGGGGAAGGGGAGAGGAGCTGCAGGGAGAGCAGAGGAGCAGCCACAGTGAAGCAGGGAGTGGGTTTGGGTTGGAATGACCCGAAATCCCATCCCAGGCTGCTCCAACCTGGCCCTGGACGCTTGCAGGGATCCAGGGGCAGCCACAGCTGCTCTGGGGATTCCATTCCAACCCTCACAGGGAAGAATTCCTTCCCAGCTTTCACTTAGTGGGGATCCAGGTGGCTGGAAGGTGCTGCAGGAGCAGCAAGGGCCTGGTTTGCTCTGCAGAGGGAACAAATCCAGCAGCAGCTCCTCCTCACCCCGGCTCTGCGGGCAAATCCCAGAAGAAATCACTTTACAGCTTCTCCTGCAACAAGAGATTGTTCCAGCCCCAACCCACGGCTGTAATTAGCAGATGAGTTAATCAGCAGCAGGCACATGGAGGGGGCTGGCTCTGGCCATGCCCTCCCTCAGCTGGGGCTCTCCACAAAGGCCAGAAATCCACGGAAATCCATCTGAATCCATCTGCAGGATGCTCTGCAAGGGCCTCGTGCCTCTCTAGGCCCCGGCGCTGCTCTGGCTCTGCCGTGGCGGCTCCTGCCCGGGGCTGCGGGGCTGCAAAACACCCAGGGTGAGCTGGGCAGGGCCCAGAGAGCAGGGAGAGCACCCTGAGCCTGTGCTGGGCACTGCCAGGAGCAGGGAGAGCACCCTGAGCCTGTGCTGGGCACTGCCAGGAGCAGGGAGAGCACCCTGAGCCTGTGCTGGGCACTGTCCAGAGAGCAGGGAGAGCACCCTGAGCCTGTGCTGGGCACTGTCCAGAGCAGGGAGAGCACCCTGAGCCTGTGCTGGGCACTGTCCAGAGCAGGGAGAGCACCCTGAGCCTGTGCTGGGCACTGCAGCAATCCTGATCCTGTGCTGGGCAGGGCCCAGAGCAGGGAGAGCTCCTGATCCTGTGCTGGGCACTGCCAGGACCAGGGAGAGCATCCTGAGCCTGTGCTGGGCACGGCCCAGAGAGCAGGGAGAGCTCCTGAGCCTGTGCTGGGCACTGCCAGGAGCAGGGAGAGCTCCTGATCCTGTGCTGGGCACTACCAGGAGCAGGGAGAGCTCCTGAGCCTGTGCTGGGCAGGGCCCAGAGAGCAGGGAGAGCACCCTGAGCCTGTGCTGGGCACTGCCCTGAGCAGGGAGAGCTCCTGAGCCTGTGCTGGGCACTGCCCTGAGCAGGGAGAGCTCCTGAGCTTGTGCTGGGCACTGCCCTGAGAGCAGGGAGAGCACCCTGAGCCTGTGCTGGGCACTGCCCTGAGCAGGGAGAGCTCCTGAGCCTGTGCTGGGCACTGCCCAGAGAGCAGGGAGAGCACCCTGAGCCTGTGCTGGGCACTGCCCTGAGAGCAGGGAGAGCTCCTGAGCCTGTGCTGGGCACTGCCCTGAGAGCAGGGAGAGCTCCTGAGCTTGTGCTGGGCACTGCCCTGAGAGCAGGGAGAGCTCCTGAGCCTGTGCTGGGCACTGCCAGGAGCAGGGAAATGATCCTGCCCCTGTGCTGGGCATGGCTCAGGAGCTGCAATCCTGCCCCTGTGCTGGGCACTGCTCAGAGCAGGGAAATGATCCTGCCCCTGTGCTGGGCATGGCTCAGGAGCTGCAATCCTGCCCCTGTGCTGGGCACTGCTCAGGGCACACTTCGAGGGCTGTGCCCCTCAGCTCGGGAAGGGCTTTGAGACACCTGAGTGCACCCAGAAGGATTCTTGGAACTGGGAACACAAACCCTGGGAGGGAGCTGGGGGTGCTCAGCCTGGAGGAAAGGAGACTCAGGGGTGACCCCATCGCTCTGCACAGCTCCTGAAAGGTGCCTGAGCTCAGCTGGGGCTGGGCTCTGTCTCCAGGAACTGACACAACCAGAGCACACAGCCTGGAGCTGCACCAAGGGAAATACAGGTTGGATATTGGGAAAAAGTGTTTTACAGGAAGGGTGAGAAAGTTCTGGAATGGTTTTCCTGGGGAGGTGGTGGAGTCACCATCCCTGGGGGTGTTTAACAAAGCCTGGATGTGGCTCTGGGGGCCAGGGTTTGGTTGAGGTGTTGGGGCTGGGATGGATTTAATGACCTTTAGGGTCTCTTCCAAGCAGGTCATTCTGTGAATTTGGGGGAATTTTGGGAATTCCCGGGGACCAGGAAGGTGGTGGAGTCACCACCCCTGGATGTGGCACTGGGTGCCAGGGCTCAGTTGAGCTGTTGGGGCTGGGGTGGACTCAATGACCTTCAGGGTCTCTTCCAACCCGGTCATTCTGTGAATTTGGGGGAATTCTGTGAATTTTGTGAATTCTGTGAATTCCCGGGGCTGGCAGGGGCTCAGGGACGGGGCTCACCCTGTGTTTGAGGTAGGACAGGTAGGTGTCCCAGCCCAGGGTCACCACGTTGACATAAGCCACACGGTACGGGGGTGGCACGAAGAGGAAATTCAGGATCTGCGCCGCCGGCCACACGCTCCAGTCAGCCTGGGGAGGGACAAGGAGGGACAAGGGGGGACAAGGAGGGACAAGGAGCAGCTGGGGGCTGCCCACGGCTCCCAGCAGGACGGAGGGGACAGCTCAGGGAGGGGATCACCTTGTACATTTCCCAAAACTTCTCCTTCAGCTCGTCCCAGCTCTCCTGCAGAGATTGGCCCTCCAGGGTGCCGATGGCTGCGGGGACAGGAGGGGTCAGAGGGAACTGGGGCGGGAATTGGGGCGGGAATTGAGGTGGGAATTGAGGTGGGAAATGCCAATTGGGCGGGGAGGGCAGGGAAATGGAAAGGAAAGTGAAAGGGAAGGCACAGATCTGTCTGGGGAATGGCTGGGGCTGTGCCAGGGGTGGGATGGAGATCAGGGAAAGGCTCAGGGGGTTTGGGATGGACCCCAGGAAAGGTTCAGGGATTTGGGATGGAAATCAGGGAAAGGTTCTGGGGTTTGGGATGGAAATCAGGGAAAGGTTCTGGGGTTTAGGATGGAGATCAGGGAAAGGTTCTGGGGTTTGGGATGGAGATCAGGGAAAGGTTCTTCCCCCAGAGGGTGCTGGGCACTGAATTCCCCAGGGAATGATCCCATCCCAGCCCTGCCAGAGCTGCAGTGATGCCCCTTTTGTCAAACTATCCGTGAGGAGAACTTGCCCACACTCCACATGAATTCAGAATTCCACCCTAACCCAGCACAGAAGCTGAAAACACCAAACCCAACCCCTCAGGCACCACCAGGAGCTGCTGGGCTGGGATTCTGGGGCCGGATCGGTGCCCCCCACGTACCCATGAAGTACCAGGCTCCCATGGAGGGCGATGCCACCAGCTGGTCTATGAGCACCTTCTTCAGCACCGTGCGGAGGCAGCGCACGCCCCGCGCCGGGAACGCCCGGTCCAGCCACAGGTACCAGAAATGCATCAGGGGGCCCAGGCTGCAGCCCACCACAAACATCCTGCCTGCAACGACAGCACGGCTGGGGGGGGGAAACTGGGGAGGGAATTCAGCACTGGGAGGGTGGGGATGGATTTCATGGCTGACCCTGGGTCCCTGGAAAGGTCCCAGGAAAGGTTCAGGGGATTTGGGGATCAGGGAAACGCCATGAAGGCATTTTGGGGAAGAAATTCCTCACTGTGAGGGCAGGGATGGATTTCCTGGCTGTGCCCAGATCCCTGGATGGATCCCAGGAAAGGTTCAGGGGATTTGGGATGGAGATGAGGGAAATGCCATGAGGGCACTTTGGGGAAGGAATTCCTCCCTGTGAGGGATTTCCCCCAGCCCTGGATCCCTGGCAGTGCCCCAGGCTGGGGTTTGGAGCAGCAGGAGGGTGGGAGGTGTCCCTGCCCTCCCTGCCCCTGGCAGTGGGATTTGCCCAGCCCGTCCCAGTGCCCACCAGTGCCCTCCCAGCTCTCACCAGTGCGTCCCAGCTGGAGCTGGCTCTGGGGGTGCTTGCGGCGGTGCCACTCCTGGTGCAGGCAGTCCCCGGCTGCCAGGAGCCCCCCGCAGCTGACGGTGTTGGTGAGGAGCAGCAGGCGGCCCGTGAACAGCGAGCGCCACGAGCGCAGCAGCATCCTGGGCACGGCACGGCCTGGCATGGCCTGGGCACGGCACGGGGAATAGCCCCGGTCAGTGCTGGCTGCCCCTGTGGCCCCAGCTCTCCCAGTAAGAGTCTGGGTACCCTCCCAGTTCCCCCAGTTCGGGCCCAGGTACCCCCCAGTTCTCTCAGTTAGGGCCTTGGTACCCCCCCAGTTGTCCCAGTACGCCTGTGCCCCCCATTTCGGGCCTGGGTACCCTCCCAGTTCCTCCCATTTCGGGCTTGGGTACCCTCCCAGTTCCCCCTAGTTCTCTCTCCAGTTCTCCCCTCTGTGTGTCCCAGTTGCCCCTGCCGCCCCCTCCCAGTGCCCCCACTGCTCCACACCCCCCCGACCCCTCAGCCATCGCCCCAATGCCCCAAGTGCCCCCCAGTGCCCCCCATCCCGCCCCGCTGCCTGCTCCCCGCTCACCCCCGTTATCTCCGTACCCCTGCACTTACCCCGCTGGGTCCCCAGCGCCCCTTCCCGGACACCAGCCCGGCTCCCGGTCCCCTCCGTGCCCCCCCCGCCCCTACCGGGCGTCACCACCACCCGCACGCGGAACCGGCAGATGGTCACGTGACATCAACGACTTCCGCTTCCTGCCTCCGCCATGACAGCTACCGAGGCACAGGAGGCCGCCATGACAGCTACAGAGGCACGGGAGGCCGCCATGACAGCTACCGAGGCACAGGAGGCCGCCATGACACCTACCGAGGCACAGGAGGCCGCCATGACACCTGCCGAGGCAGCAGCTCGTCCAGGGGTTGTGGTGGGGCGAGCTGGGGATGGTCCAGGGGATCCCCGCGGTGCCCCAGCCCTGCCCTGTCCCTGACACCTCGGTTTGGGGGCAGCAGGGTGGCTGGGGAGCTGTGGTTGCCTGTGGAGTTGGCTATGATGGGTGTCAGCAGTGCTGGGACCATCACTCTCCCCACTCTGCTGGTGCCACTGGGGTCCCCCAGGTGTGGGGATGTTGCTGAGACCCTTCGGGCTGTCCCCAGAGCCTTTAGAATTCTTTGAGAGGCTTCTCTTTGGAGCTTGAACATCAGCTCTGTGTCACCTTGGTGGTGACACATCCCATTTGTTTCTCCTGTGTTTTGCAGAGGGGCTGGGGGGACGTTGCTGCTCCTCGTCCTGGGAGTTTGTCACTCCCAAGGACATCCTGGTGGGAACTGAGGCTCTTTCCCAGCGATGTGGGACAGCTGGGACAGCTCTGGCTGTGAACTGGAGGCAAAGATCCCCTCACCAACAGGTGTTTGTCTGCCAGGATTGGTGTGGGGCAGGCAGGAAGGCAAAAAATTCACCAGCTTCTAAAAACATCAGCTTTATTCCAACTGCCAGGAGCCCTGCTCCTCCTCACAGCCCATCCAAACTCCTCCTAATGCCGAGGGACAGGGCCTGGCCAGCCCTATCTGTAGGAATTGGCTTTGTGCTTTGGCAGGAAGGTGAAGCTGGGCGGGACGGGGCCCAGGAGCAGCTCACTGGGAGAAAGAATCAATCACAGAATTAATCCAGAGACCTTAAAGCCCATCCAGTGCCACCCCTGCCATGGTAGGGACACCTCCCACTGTCCCAGGCTGCTCCCAGCCCTGTCCAGCCTGGCCTTGGGCACTTCCAGGAAGACAAACAACAAAAAACCAAACTCGAGGAGGGTTCGGTGCTCAGTCCCCAGCTGTCAAACAACCCTGTGGCCTTACAGGGGCTCTGCCACATCCCTTTTGAGCAACTGGAATGAGATTTGATGCTTCCTTACCTAATTTTGATCCAATCATCCACGTTCTGGCTGGCCATGAGGGTCTCCAGGTAGTCCCTCCCCAGGTAATAGGGCGGCCGCTCGTTGATTTTCTGAGGTAGATGTTCCAATAACCCAACCGGGATGTACCTGGAATGAAATCAAATGAGTGCTAGGGATTCATTAATCAATTAATTATCGTTTAAAGATCCCCCTGGCTGGGCAGCATCACCTGCACAGGAAGGAGAGCCACTCCAGCAGGAATTTCCTGGTTTTCTCCACTCCCTGAGTGTCTGAGCCCCAGTGCTCGAGGCCGTAGTTGGTGAAGTCCTTGAGGATGTCAAATCTCTCTCTGGAGGAGATATCCCAGTGTCTCTGCTCCTTGATTTCCGTGAAAAGCCAGGGTTTGATGAGTGCCCCTCTGCAGCCAAAAAAAAAATTAAAAAAAAAAATTGTAATTCCCATCACTGATGCTCCTGAAGATCTGAGACACTTCCCAGCGCTGATTTCTGCTTTAAATCTTCTTTTCCATTCCAACAATAAGCTCCAACTGATACAAATTGATTTCGCCAATTTTCAGAGTGGTTTCACTGAGAGGAAATTCCATGCTTTGGGTTTGTTTAGGGATTTTTTTAATCCTATTTTTTTTTTTCCCTTGAACCTCCAGAGCTCAGGAGTGAAGGGAAACACAGGCACTTGCCTTGCAATCATGATTCCAGAAACTCCCATCTGCATGGCTCGATTTGCATCTTCATAGGACAAAATATCCCCATTTCCTGCCCAGAGAGGAGGGAGAAGGCAGAGGTCAAAGAGATCCGTGAGGACAAGTCAAAGTGAGCTAATGCAGGCATGGGATAAAATTCAACATGGACACAATGTCCCAGAGCCAGATGGTCCAAAGAGGCTCCTGCTTTGGATTCCCAGGGATGTTTCTGATGGATGTTCCCTTACAAGGAAAAAAGGAGCCTTCTCCTCTCTTCTCCTTCAGTTTCCCTGAAGGTTTAGGGATTTTGTGCCACAAAATCCAAGAAAACTCCTTTAAAACCCAAGTGATTGGTGTCCCTTCCCTCTGGCACCACATCAGCAGCACCAGGTGTGGCATTCACATTTTCTGAAAAATCCCTTTGCCCAGGATTTTTCTCCTGGGAAGGTGAGAAGCCTCAGAGAAAAAGTGGAACAATAATTATCTGCTTTGTTTCTCCTGTGTTTTGCTCTTTGGAACGTGGTTGGAGATTGTTTATCCAACAGGTGATTGTGTCATTGGTTTCATGTGAATTGTTTTGACTTACTGGCCAATCAGGTCAGGCTGTGTCAGGGCTCTGGAGAGAGTCAGAGTTTTTATTATTATCTTTTTAGCCTTCTGTAAGTATCCTTTCTGCATTCTTTAGCATATAAAGAATATATCTCCACATTGCATTCTGCTTTGGCACAAACACCGGCACAGAAAATGAGATCAGAATATTCTTGGGAATAATTGTGCCTTGCTCTTCTCTGTGAAGAGAAATGTGGGGCTATTTCCTGACAGGCCAAGGAACCAAACCACCATCACTGTGGGTGAACAATCCCCACGTTGCATTCTGCTGTGGCACAAACACCGGCACGGAAAATAATAAGAACAGTTTTGATCATTCTTTTCTCTGCTTCTCTCAGGTTCAGAGGATGTGAATCCCACAGGAACACGCTCTTTCCCCCCCATTTTGAAGGGATTTGCAACGAAAGGGGTGCCAAGGGGTGCCCCACGTACCGAAGAGAGGCATGGGGCTGGCCAGGCGGGCGCACTCGGCGATGTAAGCCCAGTCTGCGCTGCGCGTGTAGCGCTGCTCCCGCGAGCGCCCGTGCAGCTGTGGAGAGAGCAGGGACACACTGCAGGGCACGCAGGGACAGGGACAGGGGCACTGGGAAGGGAGCCTTGGCATGGGCCTCAGGATGGGCCTCGGGATCAACGTTGGGATCGACCTCGAGATCGACCTTGGGATGGGCCTCAAGATCGATGGGTGCTGAGAGCAGAGCTGGGTAAGGGATCCCTTGGGATCTACCTCTGGATTTACAGAATTTACAGAATGACCAGGTTGGAAGAGACCTTAAGGATCATTGAATCCAACCCAAAACCTCAACTGAATCCAGCCCCAACACCTCAACTGAACCCTGGCACCTTGGGATTAACCTCGGGATCGACCTCGGGATTGATCTTGAGATTGACCTCGAGATCGATGGGTGCTGACAGAACTGAGCTGGGTAAAGGATCCCTTGGGATCTACCTCTGGATTTACAGAATTTACAGAATCACTGGGTTGGAAGAGACCTTCAAGATCATCGAGTTCAACCCAGCCCAGATCAACCTCGGGATGGGCCTTGGGATAGAGCTCAGGATGGATGGGTGCTGAGAGCAGAGCTGGGTAAGGGATCCCTTGGGATCTACCTCTGGATTCATAGAATTCACAGAATGACCAGGTTGGAAGAGATCCTGAAGATCACTGAGTCCAACCCAGCCCCAACAGCTCAACCAAACCCTGGCACCCAGTGCCACATCCAGGCTTTGTTAAACACACCCAGGGATGGTCCCTTCCCAAACCATTCTGGGATTCCATGATCACGAACCCAAGGCTCAGGAGCAGGGAGGAAAACGCCCTCTGCACCTGAATTTTCCTCTTTTATTAGCAGAGGACACTAAAAGGCAGGGGAAGGTCACCCCCATCTGACCTCCAGGCAGAACTCCCCAGGCACCAACCCCACAGCTCTGTCCCCCTACCGTGACCATGGACGCGCCCCACTCCCGGATCCTGGGGATGATTTTGTGAGCCACATTAACCTTCTCCTGCACCCCAGTGCGGATCTTCACCGTCAGGGGCACATCCAGCACCTGCAGAGGTGGGAAGGTGAGGCCAGGCTGGACTGGGCTCCATCAGCTCAGCTCCAGGAGCTCCCACTCACCGAGTTCATCCCGCGGACGATCTGCTCGAACTTGTTGGAGCGAGTCATCAGAGCACAGCCTCCTCCCTGAGGGACAAAACATGGACCTCAGGACCTTCCTCACACAGTGGAGAGTCCTTGGGGCACCTCAGAGTTTGGAGAAAGTGGATTCTTCAACCAAAAATACTCCAGAGTGCTTTTCCCTCCCAAATCCTGCCAGGCAGAAACAGCCATTCCCTGCTCCTTGAGCAGCTTATTCCCCTTCTTACTGAGATCATAAATGAACTGGGAGCTCTGGATCAGACTGGAAATAGCAATCAGGCAGCAGAGGGTGAGGGTGAAGACAAGGATTCATGGAAAGAAAACCCACCACAGAACTTCTCACCTTCTTGTAGACCAGGTCGATGGGACAGCCGACGTTGATGTCAACAAAATCCACATCGATTGTCCTGTTCAGGAGCTCTGCACACTTGGTCATGGTGTCTGGAAAGGCTCCCTCCAGCTGCCAGAGGGAAGGAGCTCCCCTGAGTCCCAGAGGCAGCTTTTCCCCTGGGAAGTGAGCCCTTGGTGGGTTGTGGGGTGGGAACCCTCACCTGCACCCCGAAGATGTCCTCGGTGTGGTGGCGTTTGAGCAGAGCCCACTCGGAGGACTGGCCCTGGAGCAGGTTGGTGCACACAGCCATCTCCCCACAGGTGACATCTGCCCCAAAAGCTTTGCAGATCCGCCGGAAGGGGAGGTTTCCACACTGCCAGGGACAGCAGGGACAGCAGGGACGGGGATTGTCAGGAGATCCGCTCTGTTCCAACCCTTCCCACAGTGAGTTACCAACCTACCGTGGTCAGTGGAGCCAGGTACAGCTTGCCCTGGATTTCCAGCTGGAAAACAGGGATGGAGGAGCAGGTCAGCAGAGCTGCAAGGGCTTTTATGGAACCACAGAATGGTTTGGCTTGGAAAGGACCTTAATGATCATCCAATTCCATGCCCTGGCCATGGGCAGTGACACCTTCCACTATCCCAGGGTGCTTCAAGCTCTGTCCAGCCTGGCCTTGGATGCTTCCAGGGATGAGGCAGCCACAGCTGCTCTGGGAATTCCATCCCAGCCCCTCCCCACCCTCACAGGGAGGAATTCCTTCCATGCTCTGCCTGCCTCCCCCAGCTAAAGGCTCTCCAAGCGTTTTTTTCCCCATCTTTCCATGCACAATCTCCACCATGGGAGCAGGACACAAGGGACTCTCACCTTCTTCTTCTCACACGGCCGCAGCTTTGTGATGTCTTCATCTGTCAGTGGGCCCAGGGTTGGGATGGAGGGAGCACCTTCAGCCCTTTGGGAGCTCTGCAGGACCTCAGGTCTGGGAGCATCTTCAGCTCCTCTGGAGCTCTGCAGGACCTCAGGTTTGGCAGCATCCTCAGCTCCTTGGGAGCTCTGCAGAACCTCAGGTCTGGCAGCATCCTCAGCCCTTTGGGAGCTCTGCAGGGCCTCAGGGTTGGGAGCACCCTCAGCCCTTTGGGAGTTTGGCAGGACCTCAGGTCTGGCAGCATCCTCAGCCCTTTGGGAGCTCTGCAGGACCTCAGATTTGGGAGCATCCTCAGCTCCTCTGGAGCCCTGCAGGACCTCAGATTTGGGAGCATCCTCAGCTCCTCTGGAGCCCTGCAGGACCTCAGATTTGGGAGCATCCTCAGCTCCTCTGGAGCCCTGCAGGGCCTCAGGTCTGGGATCCTCTCCCTGCTCCTGCAGCACGGGGCTGTCTCTCAGGCCCTCCTGGGGATCAGTGCAGTTGGACACCTCCGTGGAGCTCCCCGTGGCTTTGCCTCCCTTCCCAGCACGGAGCCCACGCAGAAACTCCTCGGCCTTGTGGAAGCTGAACTTCCTCTTGCGCAGCTGCTGCTGCAGCTCCTTGGAGAGGCCGTTCCTCACCAGCAGCTTCCCCTCCCACTGCTGCACCAGGGAAGCATTGACCAGGTTCTGGTGGCCGTCCCCGAGGTGGGCCTGGCCGAAGCGGCAGGTGACACCGTAGGGACAGCGGCCGAAGGTGTCGAAGAGGACGCAGCGCTGGCCCAGGTCTGCAGGTTTGGCCGCCAGGTACTGGGACACGTCGTGGAGGAAGCGGCAGCGCGGCCCAAAGTGGCACTGCCCGGCACAGCCCTGGGGACAGCACGGAGCAGGGCAGGGTGGGCACGGAGCAGCACAGCCCAGGCTGCTCTGAGCATCACCTGGGACCCCAGGGCAGGGAGGGAATGGTCCCAGGGGGAGGGATGGACACAGTGGAAGGGATGGACACAGTGGAGGGGATGGACACACTCCAAGGAAGGTGACACCTCACTTGTGACACTCAGCTCATCCCACGTCATCCCCTCCCAGCTGGTTTTTATGGAATTCCAGCCTGGTTTGGCTTGGAAAGGACCATAAATGCCATCCAGTCCCACCTGCAGGGGCACCTCCAAGCCCTGCCCAGCCCAGCCCTGGGCACTGCCAGGGATCCAGGGGCAGCCACAGCTGCTCTGGGCACCCTGTGCCAGGGCCTGCCCACCTTCCCAGCCAGAATTCCTGCCCAAAATCCCACTAACCCAGCCAGAGCAGGGCAGTGTGTCCCACCTGTGTCACCGAGGGGCACAGCCTGCTCTGCTCGTAGCAGTTGGGTTTCATGCAGGGGCGGCTCTTGTTCTGCCCCCGGGCTCTCTTCTTCTCCTGGCGCTCCTTCTCCTCCTCTCCAGCATTCCCTTGGCTTTCCCCATCCTGGCCGAGCTCCTCTGCCTTCACTCTCTTGGCTGGGGGTTCGCTGACCTGCTCCTCTTCCTTCTTCTCCTCTTTTTCCTCCCCCTCCTCGCCTCCTGCCCGCAGGTAGGCGTGGAACTGCTCTTTGGAGGTGAGGAACCTGCGGGGAAAGGGGGTCAGGAAGGGGTGTTATGGGGGGAAACGGGGCAGGAGGGGCTGGGGATGGAACTGGGGGGGTGTGGAGAGGTCGGGAATGTACTGGGGGATTATGGAGGAGTTGGGAATGTACTGGGAGGGGGATGTGGAGAGGTCGGGAATGTACTGGGGGGGGGTATGGGGGGATCGAGCAGGTAGTGGGGGAGGGCATGGAGGGATCAGGAACGTACCGGGGGGTTTATGATGGGACCGGGCAGGTACTGGGGGGGGTTATGGAGGGGTCAGTAATGTACCGGGGGGTTCATGAATGGACCGGACACATAACAGAGAAGGTTATGAAGGGACCGAGCCCGTCCCGGGGGGTTCAGGAGGGGCCGAGGCCCCGGTCCCGCACTCACCGGGCTCGAACCGGCGCCACACCGGGCGCCGCCACCGCTGCCATGCTGCCGCGCGCGGTGATGACGTCAGCCGCGGGGCGGGGCCACGTGACCGGGCGCGCGCGATATAAAAGGGCCCGGCTAAGGCTCCCTCCCCTCAGAGCGGCGGGAGCCGCGGCCGAGTGTAGCGTGTGCAATGAGGTTTTTGTACACACTCCGAGGACGCTTCGGGGGCTGCCACAGCCCCTCATGAGTGGCAGTGTTGCCCAAGCAAGGAAAGAAGGCCCTTGTGCACCCCTTGTACCTTGGGGAGAGGTGTTGTCCCTTGTGGCAGCTCCTTAAGGCTTCTCTTCGGGGACACCTGGGTGTGAGGGGGTCACAGGTACTGCCCCAGGCCTGGCCCTGTAATGGCTCCTGAGGGTGGGCATGGCTGGGAGGACCCCTGAGACCACTGAGTTCAATTTACAACGAACAGCATCACACCAGCCAGACACACGAAGTGCCACTTTGTCTTTCCTTGGTTTTGGGGATGCCTGGCTTTCCCTCCTCCTCACCACTATCGGGGGAGAGGATGGAGCTCTACAGAGATGTGGGGTACTTGCTATAGTTTTTTGTCATCTCAGGGTTATTTTTAAGCAGTAAATGCACAGAGATGAACCAGCTCTCGCTCATGAGCTGCTTGCAGTGCTCAAGGTGCCCTTGCCTTTGGTCGTGGGTGGAAGTTTGGGCTGAAAACCAAACACACGCGTCAGGCGTGGCGTGTCTGACCTTTCCTCCCTACCCTGTAGCTGCCACATCTTCCTTGTGTTTGTGCCACTCTTTTACACCTCTCCTGTTCCACAACCCCTCCGATGCTGCATGAGGGGGCTGATGTCTCACGGGTGACGCATTTGGACCCTCCTGGATGACGTTTCCTTTCCAGCTCCGTCATCCCCACAGCCCCGTTTGACTCACGCTTGGCCCGGGCTGCTGAGAGGGCTGAGAAAAGGCTGTGAAATCCAAGTGCAGCAAGACCTGGGCTCCATCTTTCCTGTCCCATGCCTTGTGCTGAATCCAAGATTTTTTTTTAGCCGGGTTCAAACTGTCCATGAGGCTGGACGTGAGGTCAGCCCTGCTCTGTGGAGGCAGCTTAATTTGTGGGTTTTCTCCTAATTTAGGAGCTGCTGGAGCCTCTGCTTGTGATGTTGGGGGATTACCGTGAGGCTAGGATTGTTTATTGGCACTGCAGGGTTGTGTGTGCACGTGGGGCAGAGGTAAAAGTGCACGTGGGGCTTGGATTCTGGTGTTTTCCTGTTCTAGCTCGGTTCTTTCCAGATGCTCCATCAGAAATGGCTTTTGGGAGGAGCTGGGGGCCCGGTGGGTGCTCCTGCTGCTGCCAAGGGTGGGCAGGTTGCACCACGGGGCCAGGCTGCTGTGGGAAGAGCTGTGGGCTGATTGGGTGTTAATTAGTTCTGGAGTGAAATATGAGGAATGCAAAATACTATTTTAAGCTTCAGCTTGGCCGGGGGAAGGAAGGAAGGAAGGAAACGAGGCTCTGGGGATTAATGAAGTGATTTCACTGCTGTTTTTGTGGGGCAATAAGCCCGAAGTCAGAGCTCTTTGGGCTGGCTGCACCCGGCTGAGGTCAGACTTCAGCATCTAATCCCTGCTCAGGGCTCTGGCTTGGCAGCTTTACGAGGCTGAGCCTTGGATGAGCTTCCCAACAAAGCCTTTCCCAGGCTGGACAGGCCTTGGAGCAACCTGCTCTAGTGGAAGATGTCCTTGGCCGTTCAGGGGTGGGAGAGGGTGAGCTTGGAGGTCTCTTCCAACCCAAACCATTCCATGACTCTCTGCTAGGTTTGGAGAGGTGCTGCCTCTTATCTCCTTCATCTTTTTCACCCCTTCAGGTCATGCTGAGGTTGGAAGAGGAGCCAGGGGGGACGAGGAGCTGGATAAATGTGAGGTGAATACAGAGCTTGGAAGGCCAGAGCTGTCACTCCCACATCCTCCAGCAGCTCCAGAGAAAACCAATACCCAGGAACTCACTGGGAAAGGCCAAGGCAGGAAAAAAGGGAAAGGTTGATTACAGGAAAGTGGGATATAGATACAGGGAGAGCTAAGTCAGGAAAAGTTCAGCTCCTTCAAGGTCCAAGTTAAACATGTATTAATGAACCTGCCCCTGCCACAGGCTCCCACACAAAAGTCGGATGTGTCAAGCCCTGGGGTCTGGCTACCACGCCAGGAATTGGCCAAAAAATGAGGCCCTGTAGCAGCCCCAGGAGCAGCTGCCATGGGGAGAGAGCTTTGGGCTGCTCCCACTGGTCTGGAGCTGTGCTGAGGGTTGTGACAGGCTCTGCTGGCCCCTCCTGCCCCAGGTGTGGGCTTGGCTGTGTGGGGAGGCTGGGGGGACCTCGGGGTCCTGTCCTCTGCTCAGCCCAAATCCGTTCCTGATGTGTTGTCTCCCCTTTTATCCGGTCTGGTTTCAGCAGCACAGCTTCCAGCCCTCTGCAAAGGAGACAATTCCCATTGCTCATAAATCTCCTATCAGGAAGCTGTTTCCAAGATTAAAGCTTTAAACGTTTCCCCTCTCTGGTTTCACGTCCCAGCTCCCAATTCCCTCCCTGCTGCAATCAGCAGCTCCATCCATCCCCTCCATCAGGGTCTCTGTGCCTCACACCAAGCTCTGCTCCAGGAAAACCTGTGCTGGGACACTCTGGAACCGGGCTGTGCTCCTCCAGAGCCTGGGAACGGCCACTCCAGGCTTTGTGTCACGGAGTTTGGAAACTCTGCCTGCTGCAGGTCCCTCCTGGCTGGCTGGAGAGCTGGCTTAGCCTTTGGAGGAGCTAAAGGTCATTATCTGGGCAGGGCCTGTGCGTTTGGGATGAGCTCTGGGCCTGGTGGGGGAATGGGATCACTGGGAGTGTTCCTGGAGCTGGGAGAATTATCCACGGTGAGGAGGCCTTGGGTTGGCAGCCTGGCTGTGGTGTGTGGGCAGGGAAAGGGATGGAGCTGGAAAAGGGATGGAGCTTGGAAAGGCAGGGAGCTGGGAAAGGGATGGAGCTGGGAGCAGGGAAAGGCAGGGAAATGCGGGGAAAGGCAGGGAAAGGGATGGAACAAGGAGCTGGGAAAGGCAGAGAGAAGGGAAAAGCAGGGAAATGCAGGGAAAGGCAGGGAAGGGGATGGAGCAAGGAGCTGGGAAAGACAGGGAGAAGGGAAGGGGATGGAGCTGGGAAGGGGATGGAGCAGGGAGCTGGGAAAGGCAGGGAGAAGGGAAAGGCAGGGAAGGGGATGGAGCAGGGAAAGGCAGGGAGCAAGGAAAGGGATGGAGCAGGGAAAAGCAGGGAAATGCAGGGGGAGGTAGGCAAAGATAGGGAGCTGGGAAAGGCAGGGAGAGAGCAGGGAAAGGGACGGAGCTGGGAAAGGGACGGGGCTGGGAAAGGCACAGGACATCTGGGCTCACGTGGGAGTGCTGTGGGATCCCAGGGCTCTTGGCTGTGGCACTCAGCCCTTTGTTAGGAAAGCTTGGAGGAGACCCCAAACCTTTTCATCACGCCCTAAAATTAGAGGCAGCCCAAGGCCCCCGTGCTGGGAGAGGCGGATTCCTTGGCAGAGGCTGCAGTGCTGATGGAAGAGCAGGATGTGGCTGTTCCCAGTGCCCCGGGCATGGCAGAGCAGGGGAAGGTCCCAGTGCTCTGCTCTGGGGGGCATCTCTCAGCAGCCTTTGTCCCTCTCAGCCTTCATCACCCTCAGCCCTGCTGTTCCCAGGGCTGGTTTGGGGGCAGTTCCATGCAGGATCCCAAAAGGAACCTTCTCTGCTGGCCTCTGTGTCACCTGAGGCCACCCTGTCCCCTTTCCCTGCACGCTGCCTAATCCCTCGTGGCTCAGCCTGTTGGGAATTAGGGGGCTTGAGGATCTGGGCAGGAAAGGTGCTTGCCTTCAACCCTTTATCTCTCCTTTTCTAATGCCTTGTGTGCCACCAGATAAAATCTCGTGTGCGCTTTGAATTTTTATTTCAGCAACACTGAAATTTCCTCCTGACATTTAACTCGGTCGGTCGGTGACAAACCGAATAAACATTCCTGTTCTGCTGGGATAAAGGCTCCAAGATCCTGCTGGGACTAAAATGTTCCATCGTTTCCGAAGTAAAACGTTTCAGTTTAAATAAAAAAAATAAGAACAACAACTAAAAATGACACGTTTCAATGTTTTTCTAATTATTTTCTCCACTTTGGCTGGAGCTATTTGTCAAATCTGGCCTGGCTTCTCAAGTAGCTTTGGAGCCTTCCAAAACTGCTATTTTGGGCACTTTTCCTGCTATTGATGAATAATTTGATCCCTGCCCTGCGTTCCTGTTCACTCCAGGTGTTTTCTGGGGTGTCTTACAGGTGGATGGAGCCTTGGTGCCATGGGCAGGGACACCTCCCACCATCCCAGGGGGCTCCAGCCTGGCCTTGGGTTGTGGCCCCTCTGAGGGGGCCCCTGAGGGGGCTCCTTCTTCTTCTTCTTCTTCTTCTTCTTCTTCTTCTTCTTCTTCTTCTTCTTCTTCTTCTTCTTCTTCTTCTTCTTTTTCTTCTTCTTCTTCTTCTTCTTCTTCTTCTTCTTCTTCTTCTTCTTCTTCTTCTTCTTCTTCTTCTTCCTCTTCTTTTTCTTCTTCTTTTTCTTCTTCTTCTTCTTCTTCTTCTTCTTCTTCATAATAATAATAATAATAATAATAATAATAATAATAATAAAAAGCCTCATGACTCTTTTGAGAGTCCCAACACAGCTTGGCCCCAATTGGCCAAAGAGTGAAAACAACCCACAGCAGAAACCACTGAAACAACCACCTGTTGGTAAACAACGTCTAAACACATTCCAAAGCAACAAAACACAAAAATAAACCCCAAACCAGATAATTATCGTTTTCCTTTTCCCCTTAAGCTTCCCAGAAGAAAAATCCTAAAGAAAGAGATTTTGCAAAAAAAAAAAAAAAAAAAAATAGAAATGTAACCCAGCTTGAGCTGTTTTCCCCCACGAAACCTCCGTGTTCCCTCTCCTTGCCCTGCCCCGGGGGTCTCTGCACAGTTTGCTGAGCTCGGAGCCGCTC